CTTTTATTGAAGCTTCCATTTTTTTATCTTCCTTGGAAACCACTGGTCTTTACCGCCATTAAACCCTAACTTAGCAACCAGTGCTCACGAGTCATCATCTTTCTATCGCCGATTCTATAGCCTGCAAGAGCGAATCAAAAAACCCGGATCTATCTTTCTCGTTTCGCCTTTTCGGGTACTGAGGTCCGACCCGGTTTAGTTTATTTTCTCAAATTCATTATATTATTTTTTTGGTAAATTATTATTTTTTATTTTTTAATTTAATAATGCTTAAGTTTGTAAAATTATTTTTAGCTTATAATATCTTATATAACTGTAAAATTTCATAGAATACGATAAAAACTATATATTAATTATTATCTATAACTAAAAGACAAGTTAAATTTACAACTTAGTAAGTTCTCGTACAAATAAGAGTTAATTAGATAATTTCAAAATTCATCTACTTAAAAATTTGTATATAGGTAAAATCTCTTTAATCTTTAGCTCGTAAAGTTCCGAACTCCATAAATTTCAATAAAAATTTGAGATAAAAATTTAAGTTTATTCTCTCTAACGATGTCCACGTAAGAAGTTGTTTATGGTTATAGGGAATTAAGTAAATTATATTTAAGTAAGAATAATTACTCCCTCTTAAATATTTAAAAGAGAAAAAGAAAAGAATTGTCGATTTTTCTCTCGTAGTCTACTTATTCTCGGAGCAACACTGGTGTATTTCTTATTATTGATAACATTAGTGATCCCTAGTGTGCTTACCCTACCAATCACTCTATAGATCACCCCCTAGATCCCATTAGATTGTTTTAGTGTGGTTAAGCTGTGAAGAAGAAAAAGTAATTTAGTTTAGAGCTATACTTTTATTCTGTTTAGAAAGATAATAATCATCAAAGAGAAGATAAATATAATACCCGGGCCCAGAAATTGGTATGTGATTAATTTCAACATCAAAAAAATGTATAAAGACCTATTTTTGAAATTAATAAATTTTAATTTAATGTAAAATTATGAAAAAATAAGATGAGAATGAAATTGAAAATAATTTTGGGAAAAATAGGTAAAAATTTGGGTTCGGATGGTGTTTTTGAAAGAAAAATCGAAAACTGCGGGTCAGAATGCAATTAAAAAAATTGCGTCACATAGGACTGCCTAATCATCAGCCTCGACGAAACAGAGCGCGCTGTGTGGCAAGACACGCTGATTCGGTGTCACGGGGGAGACCACGCTGGCGATCTGCGTGTCCCATGATCGGATGACCCAGAAGTGTTCACGCGTGCGTGGACGGTCCAAATCCGTTCCCTTCTTAAGCACGATCGAACGATCGTGATTAAACGCGATGAATGGTATAGATTCATTTTCTCTTTAAACACGATCGAACGGTTGAGATCAAATCGCGATGAACAGCTCAAATTTATTTTTTCTTTAAACACGATCGGACGATCGAGATCAAACGCAATGAATAGCCCAGATTAACGCGAGACGGGTATAAATATTTCGCATCTCACCGTACCTAAGCCCTAGCCGTCAGCCTCCCCCCGGATAAGAAGAACTAGTCGCTGGAGAAGGGAATTGACCACCGACCGTCATTGCGCTGGAACCACCTCCGATCGCTAAAAAAAGTAAAAATTCTTCTATCAACTTGGAATTTGATTTCGAGCACCCCAATAGCCAAATCAGAGTAAAAGAAATAGTGGATGAGCCGAAAATTATGGCAAAGCACAGCGACGCCATCGTGGGCAAAATTGCAACTGCCTCCGATGAGCCCCTTCCCGTTTTCTGTTTCATACAATTTTTCTACAATTGTGTTCACCGTTGTATTTTCTACAGATTGACATAAGAAAAACGTCCAGTCGCGAAAATGAGCCGGCGGAGCCGTACCACCGAAAAATTTCACCGCTGGTAGGTTTCTATTTTTTGACTTTATTTAGCCAACCGAGACCCACTAATGTATTTTTCTCGCAGGGATGGGTATACAATAGGTCGAAACTGGCCAAAACTGGCCAAAAACGGCCAGACCGAGGCAAACCGCTACCTTGCCAGAATTCTGAAATTGGCCAGAAAAAGTTTTTAACATTGATTTTAAATTTTTTTGGGATATTTTTAGGTACGTATAACGTGTTTTAATTTTCGCAGAAAAATTCATGAAACTCGGGACCGCCAGTAGGCGCAGTCAAAAGTTCGATATTTCGGACATCGATTTGAGTAAGAATCCCTTACCTTATTCTCTATTATAGAATTGAAGCTTAGTAATCAATAATGTAGTATTTTGTATAATTTAGAAAATTTTAATAATTACAGGTTACTAATAGAGTCGGAACCAGTTAGTTCTTTATTTGTCCTATTTAACTGATTGTTGAATTTACAGTTTTAAATACATGATGATATACTGGAATGGTTGAATAATTCAGTTGTGCTTTCTTGATATATATATATATATATTACTTATCTTGTGTGATTTACGGTTGATTTGTGAAATTAGTAATTAATATGCAAACGAAAAATTGTTTGGTCATATGAATTAATAAATGGTAGCCTTACTGGATATCTTGAGAGATGGTGGATGGATTGGGTACATAAAGAACCCTACTATGAACATTGCCTCATACCGGATGGGGTATCGAAGAATGATATTTTTGATGCTCATATAGGACGGGGTATGAAAACGGCCTGATTCACCCTCATACTGAATGGAGTATTAAGAGATGATATTTTTGGCTCTCATATCGGACAGGGTATAAGGACGGCCAGCTAGTTGACAATATTGAATATTGGTTCACGCATAGTGGGACATCTCTATGGGCCCCAGGGATACCAGTAGGCAAATAAAAAGGAAAATTTGTTGTTATTGCTCACTCGAAAATGAGAATGAAATATTATTTGAGTTATTATCTCTATAGATCGATTTTAAAAATTTTGTAATGGTAAATATATGCAACATATAGTTTTCTTTATGATAAATGAATTTATTTAAATCAAGAGTTTTATTGGTTATTTTTATGATTTTTACCGACTTTTAGTTTCTGTATCGGTGAGTAGTGTGATATTCTTATTGGGATAGCGTAGCTTACTCTTTCGTTAACTATTTCAGATTAAGAGGACCAAGACCCAAATTCCGATCAATAAGAGGATTATGAATAAATTCACCACTCGGACTCCCTTCAGAAGCTAGTGAAGGTTATCCTAAAATGCTCAGTTATTTACCTTTTATTTATTTCTTTAATTTTTGTTTGTTCTTTTAGAAGAGACATTCCTGTAAGAATATTAAACATTCTAAATTATTGTGTAAAGAATGTAAACCTTAAACTCTATCATTTCGTTTTCGCATTTAATTTATGACCTTATTACCTTTTAAGTTCTGAGTCTTTAAAATAAAGGTTATTTTTTGCTTGATTTCCTAGGAGAGGCAGATAAGATAAAGACTCTTTATGTGAATGTGACCCATAGTTGATTGTTGGCAATGTAACGAGTTTGCTCTTATACCAATTGGTGTTACTGAGAGAAAAAAAAAAAAGAGGAGAGGGAGAATCAGTGGGCTGATTTTTAATGACAATTTAGATTGTTTATTCTAATTTGGATTTATTATGATGATCTACTTTTCTTATGATCTTAAAGGAAAATGGGTTTTAAAGATGATATAAACGACGATGATTTTGACGATGAGGTTGATGCTTTTCAAGCAACAAAGATTTTTTTTTTGGTGAATTATAAGCTATAAGCTGATTTTTTCCCAAAACAAGCAATAAGATTTTTCTTTTTTATGTTAAAATTAATATTGGTAGTGGTTCTAAAGAAATTTAAAAAGTTTGGAAATTATTTTGAAAAATAAAAATATTTATGCCTAAAATAAAACATTGACCGAAATTCGGAAATAAAATAATAATTTTTTATCCATAATCATGCCCATTGTTCTTCTATTCCATTGAATCCGATAACATATTATTAACAAATTATTCATTACATGTTATACAATTGTGCTAATGGAATATAATCAACGCGGCCGCGATTTTGCAAAAAAGACAATGTGAATACTAAAAATCACATATAATATGTAGATATTTCAATTATTTTTAGCTCAATCAAATTGACTAATAAAGAAAATATCTAAAAATATATATTTGGGAGGAAATCAATCTATTATTCATATAAAAAGTAATGTTATTAAGAGGTGACCATAGAAAAACATCAATCAAATTATATATAAGCTCTCTTTAAAATGATATTATAGTTATATTCAGATTTTTTGTAATCCTAAAATGAAAATTTACCCATTATACTTGTTTATTTAGGAAAAAATCTTTATAAACTGCAATTTTTCGATATCTATATATTATTAATAATTTTCATGTTAGGATGTTCAAATTTAGAATATTTAGTCTTTTCCATACAAAGATTTTGACATGGGTATGCACAAAAAAATAATAATAAACATGTCTTAAACTCTATATATACACCATTTGATGGTTTCAAAAGAAATCAAAGAAAATCACCCAAGTATAATTCAATTCTTTTTCTTTCTCTTTTCTATTCTTTTTCTTTCTCTCACAACCATGACTAGAAAGAAGGTGAAACTCGCTTTTATCACCAATGATTCCGCTAGGAAAGCAACCTTCAAGAAAAGGAAGAAGGGATTGATAAAAAAGGTAAGTGAGTTGAGTACTTTATGTGGTGTTAACGCTTGTTTGATTCTTTATAGTCCTTATGACGGCCAACCTGACATTTGGCCTTCTCCTATGGGAGTCCACCAAGTGATTGCTGATTTCAAAGGGATGTCTGAGATGGATCAGAGTAAAAAGATGGTAAACCAGGAGAGTTTTCTAAAGCAAAGAATCAACAAAGCTAGTGAACAACTCAGAAAACAACGTCGGGACAATCATGATAAAGAGATTACTCAAATTTTATTTGAAAGCCTAATAGGGAAATCATTGTCAAATTTAAACATGGGAGCTTTAAACGATCTCGCATGGATGATCCACAATTTCTCAAATGATGTCCAGAAAAATATTGATAAACTTATGAATAGTGGTCAAAATTCTCAAGAAACACCAAGTCTAGATATCAAGTTAAATGCCATGGATGATATTAAGAATTCAATGAAGGAGAAATCCTGGTTTGTGGAATTAGGGCATGGAAAAATGATTTCATCCATAGAGGATAACAACAACGATGAGAAAGACACAACCACCTCAATTAAAGATTCCCTTAAGTTGTCATTGATTTGAGCAAGAATTAGTAGTTAAGGATTTATGTTTCTTTATTGGTACATGTTTTTTCAGTGATTTCAGGTCTCCGCAATAATATAATTAGTTATTGTAGGTAAAGCTTCCTAAGCTTTTTAGGTTTTTTATTTATTTTAACGTTATGTATCCATAGTCATGTACCAATTAATAATATTATTCTCTTATTTTCAAAATCTAATAGTTGGTTTATACAAAACCAAATCTTTACAATGGATGGTTAAAAAAACTTATATTTTTTTTAGCCATCATATGTGGTGTCTGTTTTAATTGAACTACAAGTTCTATCATGAGAGTATAAAAATTATATATATATATATATAATAAGGTTTTTAAAACATAAGTTATGCGAAAAAATTTTAAGTGAATATAACTATGATATATCCTAAAATTTTAACTTGCAACATCTAAATATCTTTAATAAGAGAGAAAAAAATTTAAAGTAATTAAAATAAGAAAGTTAAGTGGAAATGTTTAAATGACTCGAATTAAGTGAAATTAAGGGGTATGAAGTATAGATTGTTAATCTTCCTTCCGAATAATATATTAAACTCTTTGCTCTTGATATCTTTTGGTAATGGCTTGACATATTTATTTAGTTAACTCTTATTATATACATTCTCTTTAAATCAAGATTTGCTTCCTTAAGATATTTATATTCATGAGGCAATGATTTTAACTAAAAATAAAGTGTCACAATCGTGACTCGGGATAAAACTCCACAAAAAGATAAAAAAATAAGGGAGTCGTCAGAGATCCTATTGAAAGCAGAATTAGGTACTAATTATTTCATCAGAAATTTGGATGGCGATATGGTACATGATAGAAAGGTGCAAGGCCCATACTAGTTGTGTACATTAATTATTTTAATTTTTGATCTACATACATATTTCAGGGATATAACTACGTTGCAAGTGTGTCGTTAAGACAAGTGAATACTATGTATTTGAAGAAGAGAAGACTCAAAATACACTAAAAAACAAAATGGACGAAGTGATAGAGAAAGTGATTCGTTTAACTCCAATCTTTGTGTCTCTTTTGCTTAAAACAATTGTGGTTCATCGCTTGTATTGGCAACGAATAAAATTTCAAACTTGGCCAATAATCATAATGTTAATTTCAGCATTACGTTTTCTATGGATTTATTTAATTAACTATAATTCAGGAAAGGAGGATTGATTTTTAACATACGATTTTTTTCTTGACACATCAAATTCGATCTTTTTTTGAACTATATCGTTCACTTCAACCATAAGCAAAATGCATGTAGAGAGCATATCATATTAAACAAAGTTTCAAGTTCGAGGGAAGATTACGTTTTTAGTAAATTCCCGCTCATTCTTTTTCGTGAACCATTGTTTTTATTATGGATTATACTTTTTTATTTTTTGAAAAAAATAAACTTGACCCAAGGAATTTGACTTCCATTTAATCCAATTCATACTTGAAGATTCAAATTAGAGTCTATGTAATACCCGGGCCCGAAAATCAGCCCGGGATAGTCTTTTTTATTTATAAAAGTTATATAAATAACTAATTTAATTTTATTTAAATTATTGAGAAAAATTGAAATATGGACGAATTTGAAAATAATTTTGGGAAAAAGAGGTGAAATTTCAATAAATGTAATGTATTTTAAAGAAAACTATAAACAGGAGGTATAAATTATAAAAATAAAAAATTCGGCTACGTGGGGCGACCCAGTTAGCAGGCACAATGAACTAGTGCGGCAAAACACGCTGACATCGACACCATGGGGGGCAATTCGCGTGCCTAGCGATCCGACGATCCCGATCACATCTCACGTGCACTGGTGGCTTAGATGCATTTTTCTTTAGGCGTGATCGGACAGACGAGATCAATCGCGATGAACGACCTAGATTTGCCCACGCAATTGGTCTAAACAAGCAACAATCGAACGACTTTTCTCGCTCCACGTCGACGCGAATGGACGACCCAGATCGACGCGAGATGGATATTTAAACATTGTGTCTTATCAAACCCTAACCCTAGCCGTACCTGTCCTCATCGGAGAAGAAGAACCCGATGCTAGAGAAGGAGACTGAACCCCGACCGCCACACCAGAGTCATTGCCGACCGCCAAAAAAGGTAAAAAATTTTCTTTTCTGCTCGAAATTTAATTCTGAGTCTTCTTGTGGCCATATCGGAGCAAAAGGGACAGCAGATGAACTGAAAATTGCGGGCAAAGTCTGGTAAAGCCGTCACAATTGAAATTATAAAACCTCTCTGATGAGACCCTTCCTGTTTTCCATTTCACACAATTTTTCGACCATTGTGTTCATCGTTCTTTTCTGTGCAGGTTAGTTGAAGGAGAAACTCCAGTTGCAACCGCGGAGCCGCCGAACCCGAAGAACTCCCCCCCGCTGGTAAGTTCGGTTTCTTTTTATTTTCTGGCTAACCAAAGTCCCCTAACGTATTTTTATGCATAGATACAGGAAGGACCAGCCAAAACCAACCAGGCCGAGGCAGATTGCACCATGGTCGGTAGAGCCAGCGTCGGAGCACGGTAGTGCCGTCATGCTGGAACCTTAAAATTGGCCAAAAAAGATTTTTAACACCGATTTTAGATTTTTGGAGCATTTTTAGGTACATGACGAGTATTTTAATTTCCATAGAAAAAATTTAAGAAATTCAAGACTCATTAAAAGACGTAGTAAATGGTACGATATTTCGAAACATCAATCCGGGTAAGGATTCGTCATCTAATTCTCTATTACGATAAATTAACGATTACTAATCGATAATTGTATGTTTTGTAAAAAATTAGAAAAGCTCTAAAAATAATTACAAGTCACTAGTGGAGGCAGAACTGGTTAGTTCACATTTGTCTTGATTCCCTGTTTATTTTTCTATATTATCTAAATTGTTTACTATTATATTGTGCGTATTTAAATTGATAAGTTTTATGGTCTTTTCGATTATTTGGTTTATTTGGTTACTCCCACATTGTTTATTTGATTATCCGGTTACCTGGTCATTCGGTTATGTTAAACTATATTGCTTGCTTAAATTCTACTTAAATTAATGGGTGAATATGAAATGAGACGTTGGTATACTTTGGTGATTGTTTGGATTATGAGAATCTAAATAATTGAAAGCTTACTGGACATCATGGGAAATGGTGGACAAACTTAGGAACCCTATCGTGGACATTGCCTCAGTAGGACGGGACTGAGAAGTCCTATACTGGAAGGGTTTTGAGAGATATAGTTCACCTTCATACCAGACGGAATATCGAGACAATGATATTTTTGGTGCCCATTATCGAATGGGGTATGGGACAACCAGGTTAATTATCAAATCTAGATATTGGGTCCATGAGTAGAGGGATATTCTTATGGATCCTCAAGAGTCCCAGTAAGTAGGTTAAAAAGAAGAATTACAGATCTTATGCACGAAATTAAAATGTCACTTGGTTATTTGTCTTCATAGATTATTTTTCAGAAAACTTGTGATGACAAGTATAGAATAAAACTTTTTAAAGTTAAATATATTTCCATTAGTTGTTTTGTAATTTTTACCAACCTTCAGTTTTCTGCATCAGTGATTAGTGTGATACTCTTACTGGGCTAGTGTAAATCACCATTTCATTAGTAATTTTAGATCAAGAAACCAAGATCCAGATCCTGATCAGCAAAAGAGTTGTGAGTAGTTCACATCCCGAACTCCGT